GGTCATGGTCCTTACATGTTATTAACATCCATCATAATTGTTAATGATATGTATATATATATATATATTATATATAGAATATTATGTTAATAATTATATATAACCAAATTTAGCGAACTGACACGATTTTAAACTTCATGTACTTTATTTAAAAAATACATTGTTCCTTACACTGTGTAGAGGAAAATTTCTGCCAATCGACTTTTTAACTATTACGTCATCTTTTTAGATGACTACAAGAGCACCTTAGGGCGGATTTCTTGTGTTTGCGACCAGGAAGGAATCTCTTCGAGATTACATCGACGTCTTGAAATATTTCCGTGAGCGTAACGCATATAACGACATTGAGAGTCAACGTGAAAAAGATGAAGTTTCACGTGAACGCACCTGAAGAATGTACGGTTAACTGAACTTCTGAACGTGTTAGTGGTCTCTCTAACAAGGGTTTTCAACGTGCACGTAAAGAACGTTTTTCACCGATCCTGAATTCCTGTTAATTGTGGCGGATTCTGAGTCCGTACGGAATTATGCAGTTTTTTAAAATTAGATCTTGGAATGAAAGTGCGGTAGGGATTACAAATGGGCGGTTGTCTTTGGAGATTGCAAATTTACCCGACTTTTCAGTTACCGGTAATTTGGTAAAATTTTCAATCGGTACCAGTTCACCAAGAATCTAGCGCTATTTTCTAGTTTACATAAAGCTATCAACGCTTTAAATAAAAAATGATAGTAATATCTAAAAGAATAATATCTAAAAAGAAATATTATCGATAATTTTGTACAATTTTCAATCAGTAATCTACCGCTATTTATCATTTTCCACAAAGTTATCAACGTTGAAAATAGAAAACAGGAGTAATAACTAATATTTTATTCGCCTGTAGCCCAGCACAACAGAAATGAACAAAGAAAAGAGCAATGTTTTTCTTTCGAAAGTGTTCAAGATCAGTTCGATAACTTCCTAACGAACAAGTTTAGGGCACAAGTATGTTAGTACTTTTATGTAGAGCATAACAAACTGCATCGACTCAAAGAGTTAAAGCATCGGTATAATATCAATTGCAACGGAGTAGTATGACTTGTAAACGATAACTTTAAATCCAATCACGAACAAAGAAAAGTTATTGATTAATATTGATAGTCGGTAGTCAGAAGTTGTTGGCAAATAATCCTCGCCTCCATCAAAAGCCACAGGTTAAACGGGGTCATGGTCCTTACATGTTATTAACATCCATCATAATTGTTAATGACATTAGTGTATTTACATAAGATCCTTCTATTCGTCGTCCCTACTACATGTTAATTGCCTAAGTAATTGACGCAACGGCCTTCATATACTGCGTGGAAACGTCCATACATTTCTATCAAAATGAATCGCGATCTCGCCAATTGATGAATCAGAAGAACGAGGTTCCGGCACGTCATCAGTTTTTATCTCGCTGCGCGAAGATTCTTTTTCACACGCTGACTACGTATAAATTACCGTGTCAGAAAATAACTGCTGACTGCCGGCTGATCGAAGTTGATAATAGCTAGTCGCTATGCGAGCTGATCTGTGGCACACTGTACGCGCTATCTAATTATTACGAACCGTAAGCGGTGCGCTACGTGAGAGTGAATAGTATACAAGTAACGAGAAATCCATACGACGATAACACTTCTGTACCTATGCTGCAGCCATCTGCAAAGTATAATCCTCGAGTTGGAAACATGCAAACAAAGACCTGGCATTTGAATGCCAGCGATTGGCATGATCGGGCACCGACTTCGTGATCCTGCGAGATCGCGACTTCTATGCCTCTGCTCCCCGATTCCTCGCCAACGCCCGGATCACGGTCTTTGAATGCTATGCGGTTCGTTAATGAAGTATAACCATCCCTCGATTTACGCAGATCCTTCCAATAAATACTACACGAATAAAAACTACACGATACATTAAAATTCTCTCTATGATTTCAAGGCCTTTTAAACTATGGAGGTTAAGTGAGTAAGTGCAACAATATCCAGGAAAGCAATTAATTCGTATTCATAACGAAGACAGGTCTAACAGGTATTTGTTCCCACGCACATTAAACAGGAAGATAATTTATTTAAGTTTACTATTGATGGTCATTTCAATTATTGACTCACTGTCTATGATTAATCTTTAGAATCAGTGTTCAAAGGGATTGCCGTTTAGAAAATCTACTTGTGAATATGATTATGACTAGACTGCGGATTTTTATGCATTTATAGGGAATTTGAATGTGCAAGAACCTACAAAATGCAAACAATATACAAGAATATAAAAAAGATTGAAAATAAAGTTCATGTTATAATATTTGTAGAATTAAATAAATTCCTATTTAGGTTCAATTTTCGAAGACACTTTTGCGAAGATTTTATTATGCATAAAGATCCGCAGTCTAATTATGATTTTATTTGTTTGTCTATCGATTCTTATTTGCATTAGAGAAACAGAACCACCTATTGAATGTTCATTATGAATTTTCAACTTCTAAACGAAATTATAACATTTCTTGTATAATTATCACTATAAATACTTTCTATTGAAATATTATGAATATTTATCGGTAAGATTGGAAATTGAATAAAATCTCTGTACGGAGTCATGTTATCACTAGCATCACAGGATGTGAAAGGATTTAACTGCGCACTCTACCTTCAGCAATAGTAACTCTGAGAATCATATTCAATTCACTCACCGAAGTCGGTAAAGCTAGTAAACGTGAAAATTAGTCATAACAAAATTCAGTTATACTAACCTTGCGAATTACGAATGAAAGAAAAATAACTTTATTATTTTTTATTTGTGAAATAAAAATTAAAGAGCTATAAAATTAAATTTTTCCCGATGAACAAATAACAATTTAATTATTCGTGTAAATATTTTTACGAATAAATTATTATCCGTTCATTTTATTCGTTACTCACTATTCGAGTAAAATTTTATCCTCATATGGTAAAAACGTGACTACTGTTTCTATATCGACGAGGGAAATGAACTTTTTCATCAGTCGGTATTGGAGAGAATGCATTTACCAATTTCGCATAGTACTCTGTTGATATATAGAACGAGACCGACAAATATGTGATATCGCGTGTAGCTACAGATGAGATAATAGGATCCTGTACTTCAGTGGCGCGTATGTCAGATTTTGGTAGATTGCAAGTACGTGATTCATGGCGCATACTCAGCTGAATTACTATGTATTTGGATTTCCATTGGTACACAAAACTTGAGTTGGAGAAGTACTTAGCAATTTAATATTTAGTAGTAATCGCATTTCCTAATTTATTAATAATATTTCTAATATTTACACTCTCGAGTAGAGGAAGGGATCATAAAAGTATGCTGTAAATTATTTAGTTAAACACTATCTACTTATTTCACTCAAATATTGAAATTATCATGAAAAAAGGTATTTGTGAAACAAAACTATGTATGTGAATATGAAATGTGGCACAGTTAAATGAAAGATGAGTCCGGATGGAAATGATTAAAAATTCACTGTAATATTGATTTTGTCATATCGAATACGATAATTTTAGGCAGGTAAATTTCGACTAGAAAAATTATATTAGATTACGAAATAAAGATTTCAATTTGAGAACAAGTGCATGTTTTAGAAAAGTGAGAATATGAATAGTAAAATACGATGTGGAAAAAAGACGTGATTCACTAACACGATAGTTCATTTTTAAAATACTGCATCGTATTTATAGATGCGTGGGGTGCTTCGTCACAGCTGAGAAATTTGAAAACGTGGTCTAGAGATTTTATGGGACTCGCGTCATGTGACGTTATAGGTATGTGTGATACCTCGATATTCGTAGCTATCGTTACATACAGTCCATGACGAACTGATGCATTCTCAAATTTCTATGCACACTTTAGTTTCAAATACAATAATCTTTTACTCCTTGTGACTATGATGATTCTTCTTTTGACCACTTCGATCCACAAATGGATGAAGTCAATATTATTTTTATAATCTCTATTTATTTTAATTTATTCGATTTACTTTCACTTGAATAGCTCAAAGGATTATTCAGCTCTCAACGCGATAACGTAGCGACTTGAAACAATAGTGCGCAAGCTCAACCCCGATAAGATCATACATAGATTAGAGAAGGCTTCTGAGTCATCAGTAGAAAGCATGAGTTCATTGTGTAGATCAACGAACAGGAAAGTTTTTGATGATAACCTGTGCTCAATGTGTAAAGGAATAAAACAACGAGGACGAGAGTTTTATAAAACGTGTTATTTTTTATTACGAAATGTAATATAAAATACAATAATAAATTATTAAATAGTGTAGATATAATTATTTGATATATTATCTACAAATACAAATATCTGTTTGATAATACTGAACGATGAAAAAATAATTTCATTACAATTATTGTCTTTCATAAGTACCTAAATGCTAATAGTGTTCACTTGTCAGGAGTACAGAAATTGTTTCCTTAAGCGATTATCACATACCGAGACCAAAATTGCGATCGCGTATCACCTTCGAAATGGCAAAGTGAGAAGGTGCTATCGATTCTAATAAATTATTTGTTATTATTCAATAAATAAATACCGTCATAAATAAATAATTCTGTCGACCGCGATTCACGGATAAATAATAAATACTAAACCTAGTGATCGGCGAATGCAATAAATAAGTTTATGAATAAATAAGTTAAATAATGCGATTATCCAGCTAGTTCATTTTGCAATGATCCGATTATCTCGAACGATTGTCGCGAATGATTTCAGCGGCTGTCTAGTCATGCGTAGTGTGACACGTCGTTGCTTTCCGTAGCAGTCGATAGGCGCTAACTGAATTTATATCATATCAGTTTGCAGCACTTTTATCGGTGGTATCGGTTCGTTATCGTTTCGATGGCACGCTCGTCGTTTCTCGTATGCAAATCTGTACAATTTTCTCGACGCTTTCTAATAATTGAAAACGTGTCTCCAAGCGTGCAGGTAATCTCTGTACTTGTGAAGAATGCCCCAGTCACGGATGAGTCTTCTGGTGTCGTCCACGGGCTCTCTTTCTATGCTAGTCATGATACTTCTTTCCACACGCGGCGGAACTTCAAGGGGCGTAAAAGCGACGATGTAGCTCTCCACCTCGCACAGCATCGCCTTCACCGAGTTTTGAGTTGCCTCCAGAGCGTTGTGAACCTGAGAATTCGTCTCGTCGTCCACCAATTCCTCGAAAGCAACTGCGAATTTCTGCAGGTCCCTGTGCATCTTTGGAAAGTGGTTGATAATCTGCAACAGAAAAGGTGGTTTAGACGTTTTTGCCAATTGTCAGCAGCGATGTAAACTTGATTTTAAACGGAGAAAGTTTTATGACTCTGTGTCGGTGCATCCTCAAGTAACTTACAGTTGTTTATGATACTTTAAAAACTGTTACTACAAGAGTTCAGAAGGTTGTAAAAGCCTTAGATAAAAAGTTGCTTCACTATTTGTCAGGAATTAGTAGACATTGGTCCTGATCAAGGACCATTCCCAGGTAAAGACTAATTTAAACGTGGCACGTTTTCTTGCAAGCCAGACTATGTACCTTGTTACGTGGATTTTATTATTGGTCCTATAAAATATTTCCCGTACATTTCTAGCATACTACGATCCTTGGGTCTATCAAAGTGAATCAACCACGTCAGACGATTACTCCGAACATTTTGATTGATCCAAAGATCTCAGCATGGCTATAATCATACAGGAAATATCATACTAAGGCAATCAAGAAAAGTATGCATAAGAGCATACACCCTGGTCTACTCTAGCCTGCAAGGAATCATACTCCATCCAAATTAGCATATAGACAAGTAAGACTCCATTCCTTGGCTCTTGAAAAAGGTAACACGATTCAAATCATTTGAATAGCATCTCAAATTAGCCAAGGAAAGAGAAAGAGAACGCCTGGAAGGATCGACTCGACGTCGCGCGTTCGGGAGGGGGGACGTACCGATGTTGAATGATCTAAACCGCGGGAAAAGCGACGCGGAGGGGGGGGGGTGGACGCCGGGGAGTACCAAGAGCGTTATCACGGATGCGTTATCAGCGTGTACGCATCGTGACGGAGGACAAGCTGGATTACGCAGTCGCGCGACCCGGCAAACATAACCGGCGTGTACCCTGGAGTTGCATTGCGCGCGCAAACCTCGAACAGCCGCACGCGCTTCTGTTCGCCTGCTACTTTATAATAATTACCGTCTCATTAAAATTTGTTATTTAACGTTGCGTTAATTAATTGCAACACCAAACGGTCAACTGGTCGCGAACTGAAAACCCGCGCGAATTTCTGCAACGGGCTCACCTGTTCCGTGATTCGACACATTCGTGCTCTTCCGGTTTCTCGTGTCCTAACGCTTTCCACGCTCAATGAATATTTATAGAAGTGGGGGAGGGACACTTCGTCGTGGAGAGCGACACAAAGGACGATTACGTCCCTAGGAAAGTTCGGTGCGATATCTCGCTGATTACCGACAACTCATTCCGGAAATGAGAAGGATACTCTAACCCTTGTCATTGTTGCAAGTTTGGGTAGATTGTTGAAGATCGAAGCTCGCTATTTAGTTTTCCTTTTGGTGGCAAATTGTACGATCAGTGGTATTTGATTCATCGAGGAACACGATTTAAAAGAAAAGTGAGACTTAAGCTCGCGGAATTAATCTCGTTACATATTCAACTCCGAAATAAGTAGAAAACATCAAGTAGCTTGTGCCTTTATCATGAAACGTTTTATTGACAATATATGAGTAAAATATTAGGTTGTCCCGAAAGTTTCTTTCGCGAGTTGCAGTCAATTATTATTTTATGTGGTCGTGTTTATATAAATAGACAATCTTAATTTCGTAGATATTCATGTTGTAACAGTAATGGAGCAAAATGAATCGTGCACAATTCAGTAATGTAACATAAAACATAAAATATTGTACATGTATTACTTATTAATAAAGCGAAAGAAACTTTTGGGACAACCTAATATTATATTATCTCATCATGGACGAGTAGGTAAACAAAAGGACCGACAGTTTTTAACACGTCTAGCCCTAAAGAGTTAACAAATACAAAGGGAAGAATTTACATGGAAACGAAGTCTTTGGTTAACTTTCCTCTCTTTGGCGAAGAAGCCAGGGTGCGATTAAACCTTTGCACTCGTTGAAATTCTCATTAGGACGAACTAACACCACTAACTACCATTTCTATCATTGTACTATTTCTACTGTTTACCAATATTTGTAAAACCTCTTACATAATACGAATTAATGTAAAGAAGTATTATGCAAAGATTTATATTAAATAATACAAAAAATATTTTAATATTCTGTCATATCCTTTTCATTTTGAAAATAAAACTTTCTAAAAATTCCGTATTTTTTGTAACGTTTTTATTTAGAAGCGAAAACCAAAAAGTAAACAATTACTAGATATAGTTTAGCTATTTGTGTGTCACTAACAAAAATCAGAAGTTGTTCGAAGAAACTAAAACTATAATATTTGTGGCATAAAATAAAATGAGTCATAAGACTATCGAGAAAGAAACTGTAACATAAACGAAATTGTTGCGTCTGAGGCGCCCACTCGAATGCAAAGAATGGAATGCGTGTACTTGAACAACGCGTTGACTGTCAAGTTTTCAATGATTAGGGATGTCTTCGAAAGTTTCTCAAACAGAAACGTAAGATATAGAAATATTGAATACTTCCACGAGGCATTGTTATCTTTTACTATTTATTTCAGAAAATATTAAACATTACTAGCCGTAATCGTTTCAGAGATGCACTATAAGTCGAAAGCGCCGGTCACCGTTGACCAACATGGCAGTAAACGTGTTAACGGGCACGCAAAGCGCTGCCAAGGTATGCCCACTACCGCAAACTGATGAAACACTAACCAGGGAGGTCTATAGGATTACAAACGCAAGATAAATTTACCGTTTGTTGCTTCCTGTCGGCCAGCCTCTTGATCATGCTCACGTCTTTTTTGCCAGGAATCCAGTTCGGGATGTATTGATGATCGTGAACGCCGATCCGTACACTTTCGTATAAGTAGTCGTAGTCACGGTTCAAGTAATCGTACATGGTCATTTGATGCTGAAGCATCAGCCTCTCCAGGCTGATCCTAGCTTCTTCGCGTAAGTTCGCCATCGACGCTCCATCTATTTCCACACTACCATCTCCGCAGGGGTGGTGCCACATTGGCAGGTCGCCGGAAACAACGGTCAAGACGCTGATTAACAGGCCACATCGGACGACGAACATATTCGAATTGAACTAATCGGCACAATCACTGGCGCAAACTTAATCTAATCTATCGGTCGTTTCCACCTGGCCCGGACGAAGCGAGCGATTTCGCTAAGACGATGTTAGCGTTTGCCGCGAGATCGTGAACTGAGATTGTCAAACTCTCGTGCTTCCAGCTTATATATGGCATCGTGTAAACAATCGTACGTACGTACGCACGTACAACGGTGGGGTGGCAGCTTATATTTTGTCCAGAGTTTTTCGTCGGTCTGGTAAAGCCCGACGTAATCGCGGGCGAGCCTTCTTCTTCGTAGCGGATTTTTCAAAAATACTGTCCCGCGGACACCGGAAGAATCAGATAATAGCCGACGCTGAATAAGCTGCATTCTGATAGTAATTGCTGCGTTAATGTTTACTACTTACAATTAACTGTGCAAACGAGCGATGTCTGTTGCAATAAACGCCACGTTATTTACAGCCCTGCAACCGATGCGACTGATTAGGTATTTCACGTCGTCAAGTGTAACAATCGTTATAACTATTTTTTTTTTTTTTTCGTTATTGCAAATCGCAGGATTTAGAATGCGTTTTCTGCGTTCCTCTTTCGTAGAGCGTGATTTTCTTTCTCACCAGCTTCTGTAAACTTCCCAAACCGGGTACTTCATTAATTCTGTATTTTGCCAAAATTTTGTACAATTTTTAATAGTCCTTGCAAACTGTTCTCGCGAGCTTCTCTCTTGATTCGTGTACGCAAAGTATTGTGTTCGCGCGTACGTGCAGATTGGAGTAGCATTCGAATTGCATAACAGTCTTTCTAAATTTGAATATTTTTTCAGGAAGAGTGCAGCTCTGCAATACACAATCATAACGTCCAAATTTATCTCTATGACGTGTTCGCGTAAAAACAAACAATACCTATCGGTTGGCGTTGCGAGTTTCGCGGATTCGTGGTTTTACAATCCCACGTTGAAGTGTTCCTTGAAAAAAAGAACGTATCTGTCATCGCACATTTACGGCGCTCGCAACCAGATCGGAAGTAGATACAAGTTCCGTCGGAAGTCTTTCGGGGGCCTCGTGAGCCGTACAAACGCAAACAGCGCTATATTAACGTTATGATTCAATCGAGATAATCACATCAGTAAGTGTCAAAAGCCTTACGTACAGGTTCATCTAAGTACGCCGAGTATCGATGATCTAATCTATCAAATAGGATTAAATGGTAACGTGCTCGAATCATCAGCGTCCAATCTGTGAAACGTCACAATCATGCTTATAATTCTGAATCATCGCAAAAGATATAAACTGACTAATTAAGGTCGAGATACGAACTTCCTAAATTTGCTAAGTCAATAAGATTGCATAACATATACACATCCGCTTAAAAATCTGCAGATAGTTACTGATTTTTAACGAATCTGTAGCACAAGATAAAATTCATAGGAAAATATATAGTTCAATTCATCGTGCATCTGTGCATCGATAGTATAAAAATAAGATTTCAAGTTTTTGCTAAAATTTTAGCAAATACAGCTCGCGCTATATCCATTCGTCTCGCTGAATACGATACGTTCGAAAACAGGCCTTACGAAAAATTGACGTCACGAGGTCAATACATTTGCGTTAAAACTCAGCGCATAGATTCAGGAGCAAAAACTTCTAAATGAAGTCGACGTAACGTGCGCGTCCTACGTAGACGTTGGATTCTACGTAATACTTCGTTGGATTATTTCGTGACGAGATTACGTAGATTCGAACACATGGAAGTCATAAGGAAGTAAACAATAACACATCTAAGTAGAAATAATAATTATTCGAGGACAATTAGCCTACATTCATTAAATGCAAGATGAATCTATGAAAAATAGAAAATGCGCCCGCGCGTGCCTCGTGTCCGTTCTATTTTTACTTATGTCTAATTACTAATATTTCGTAAGGCGACAAAATACAAGTTAGTTTAAGGTAAATTAGTTCAAAGTCCCACGAACTCGAAATAAGCAAGTAGATACAAGTTGTAGGAGAGCCAGTTTTTTTCCTTTTATCTTTTAAAATGAAAATTATGAGATTTTAAAAGCTTACTAAGTGATCTCAAACAATGGTTTTCCTCGTGTGGATTATTGTAAAATTTCCGTTGTGCGCAATATTCGGGCCTTTTGAATCAAAAGATCTTCCCTATCTTTATTGTCGGTATTATTCCAGCTTTTTCTACCTGCCAAGCCTGGCCATAATATTTTATTCAAGCATTCCCTTTGTTTATGCATTGTACGACTTTGTATACTATTTATTATACATTTTCTACATATTTTGACTTACACTTCTTGCCAACAGCAGATATTCGTCTAAATGGAACACATTTAGAATAGTCATACGAATGAAAACAAATAATTTCTTCTTACGAACATTTATTTCAAAAACAGTAATTTTTAAAATACGGTTCAAAGTTTGGTAAGACAATGTCACAAATTCTATACATACATATAAAATAATGCTATTTCTGAAAAAAAAGTAAGAACCATAAGAGTCTCCACAAGAGAAACTGTTGTTTGTGTCAAAAAATTAAACAATTCATGTACATGTATAAATTAAGTGTAATAGTCAAGCTTATGGATAAGCTTATAGAAGCACTTTTCAAAATATATGAATTTGAACTTGTAATTAACCTGGTTGTTGATCTAGTACTCTTCATAAAGAATTATACGATTTTCGAACATTTTGCCCGAATTTGATGAATGTCCATAAAAAATAATTCTGACTCTCGCGAACGAGCATGTATTTTTTTGCACCGCATCGACGATCACTTTCACAAGTTTAATGAACTTGATATGGTATTATCTTGCTGCACACCTATACACTTTCCTCCAGACATCATCGATAACGAGCGTCAGCTGACCAAAACCGAACCTGCGAACGGTTCATAAAATCCTGATACGATTGATTAAATTTCGTTGTTGTATGCGAAATTGAAAGTTTACAATTAACGTTAAATTGCAAAAGTCGTTGCCAAACAGTGGCTGAGGTGTCAGGTGAATATAGAATTCCGTTATTCAATACAAAAAAAACATCGAATTTATTCGAGACGATTATACAAGTACAGAAATGACAATAAATAATATATGCGATGGTAACGTGATATAATAAATAAATCGTAACACTATGTACGTCTACGTGTACGCCACAATAAATATAACTACTACGTATACTTGATAAAATGCAAGTGGAATCCTTAACGTCTAAGTGCGCGTGTATAAAACGTTCGGTATCGCGCGTGAATACAAAGTACAAAAATATTTAACATTAAAGTACACGTATGCCTAAGTACCGGTTCAATATAAAATATCGATTGCCTTCAATACAAACGTGTTTTCATTCAGGAAGAATAATGCTGCGACGATACACCCGCGGGTGAGTTCAACGCGTATACAAATAATTCTTACGATTCTTAAATGGTCCCTCGATACTCGTATCATAACTAAACGAGACGTGTTTCGTCGTCTGGCCTAAGTGTAGTAGACTCCCTTACATCGCGAATTCCTGCGACATGCCAAAAGTCTTGCGACTATTGTGTTCGAATAACTCGATTTCTCGTTTATTTTAATTATAAAATTATAAAATTATAAAAACATAATAAGTTTCTGCAACTATCTGTGTCTATTAAATTTCAATGAAATAGTTGATTTCCATGAAACTTCCTGTTTTACAGAGACGAAAGTGCAACTTGACTCCAAACATTTGATATCGCAGAAATAAATATAGAAAGCCATGATCTATTTAAAAATACACTGATTTCACTAACTAAAACAGAATTTTGAAAAGGCTTGTACATGTAATACGATTATCGCGTTATACAGGAGTCTACTATACTCGAATTGGGACTAAGGAAAAATCGCCTGGAAAACGGTGTCGCCTCGAATACAGCGTCTTTCGAACGCTCGAAAGCAATTAAGAAGCAAAATATCGAAAGATAAAAAAAAAAACTGTCATGTTCGCGACAGGACGAGATTCTACGGACTGGCGAATAAAAACGAAACAACAGATATGAAAGAAAGTAAAAAGAAAAGATACGATTACACCTAAATACACGTATATCGTACGCGTTAACGCACGTCACTTACAATAAGTAATGCGCCTATGTATAAAACGTAGGAACTCTGTACGTACGCGTACGCTGGTGATATCACAGCTAAACAACATTAAGCTTTCGCCTGCTTATGTTAAAGCTACAATAAATAAGTTTGACGAACCGTCTCGTTCGGCGATTAATAATCAATGACTCTTGCGGCGTATTTTCATCAATACTTTCTGTACGTTTCGAAATCTCGATACCGCGGTGCTTCGCCACGATGTACGTATTTACAATGAGCCACGATCGGTTGGGTACGATTCGTTTTACCGCATCAACGTAAACGCGCGTCGCGTGCAATGCAAAGAGTTACAAAAGAAACAACTTCCATATCTGTACGTTGCTTCGTTGCAAAAAAAAAAAAAAGAAACGCTTGACCTGTCAGATCAAACTTTCTGCAGTCAACGTGCTTTCGTTCGGATAATTTCTCTGAACTCTTATCGCATTTATCACGCAATCGATTACATTCTAACTATGTTTATTTTATACTATCGTTTTCCCTTGAATGCGCAACACGGCTAACAGTTTCAAATGGATTCGTCCGCGACGATCGTCTCGTTAGACAAATCGATTGAGGGGTACTCTTTTATTTTCAATCGAAGAATTGCTTTTTTTTTTACTGTTTAAGGTCTTGAGAATATTTCTATAGAAAATTCAAAATTATTAAAATTATAACTGTTTATAAGGTGTGAAACCTATAGAAAAACGACGATAGCAAGATTTTGAATTTATATGGCCATATGGGGAGTGAAAAAGATGCGAAGAAAAAGTGTGTCGACTATGTGGGAAAACGAGGATGCACACAAACATGTATTGCGGCCGATACTGAAATTCATAATGAATAGAACAAAATCATTTTTGATTGTTTGAGACTATTGTAACTTCAAAACAAATTCAACAAGACAGTTGTAAATTTAACAGAATCTTCTATATACATATACAAATAAATATACTAAATTTTAAAAGTCTATGTCAATAACTTTGGCTGCAAAAAAAAACATGAAAATAAAAGAGTAACCCTTTAAAACGTACCGTACGAATCGAACTTCTAATCCGTGTTATTCGCTTATTCTTGTTATTAAGTAGATTATTAGATATAATACTGTTCTGAAATACATTTCTTAATACTGGTCTCTAGTATACAATTTGATTCTCAACGACGCTTTAACTCTCAGCTGTACCAGATGTCGGAAAAGAAATCGTTAATTCCTAAATACGATTGTCGCTCTCGTCTAATTCTATCGCAACACTCTTAACGCTACCACATTGGGAAAAACTGGCAAGATTTCAAAGTATTAAGCATCTACGAAATATCGTGACGATAAATTAAATAATAATAATAATAATTAAAAAAAAAACATTTGTCAGCGACAATTTGAAAGATGCAAAACTGTAAAAGAAGCTCGACGGGCAAATAACTTCTACGCAATAATATTAATGCCAAGAACTTAAAAACGATCAAGTTACGATGAAAATAACGTTCTTAAACAAAGAGAACTCTCAAAGTGTCTAAAGGAACTAATGTATGTATTAGACATTTGTTTCTCAAATTAAGGCTTGCAAAAATATAGAATGTTACACGCTGATAGTGTTCTAATTATAACAATAGAGAGTTCAGGTCGGCGAAGAAAAAAAGTTAATTCCTTAATAGACTGTTAAGGCTGCCTGTTAAACCCATTACTTCGAATAATTGAGAGATTTCGTAAAAAGTTAAGGGAAACCCTCGTGAGATTAATTCTGTCACACTTCTGCGAGCTTCCTTTGTTTGTTTCTAAACAGACTGTGTTTCGACGAACCTTTTCTTGGTCCCCGAGACAAGGAACTATTCTGACCGGCACCCAAAGAATGCTTCCGAACTGGCTTATTTTGTTTCTTAATCTTTGATATCCTTTTATTCTTTTGCCCGGGTCCCCTGTTAATAATTTTTGGTCCTCGATACTTCTGTTTTTTCGGGTCACAGGTACCTAGCCCAGGTGCAGTCGCGTTACGAAAGGCTTTGGTCCAGGCGTTAAGAAATGTTTGATAAAATCTGATAACACCCCAATCCTGAATTAACATCAGTGTTAAGTCGCCTTCCTTTGCCCAGTTAGAACTCTCCGTGACAATTTTAGATTTATGCTTTGTGGGTATATTCAAGTCTAAGTTTAAAATAGCAGTCTCCACTTCACATAACACCTGTAAGGAAAAAT